TGTTTGTCTGTCTGTGTGTCGACGTTAATTCTGGCACTACAGGCGGCCTATTAGCGATACCAGCGGCTTCAGAACTACGCAAACCTGAAAAATAAAAGGGCGAACTTCCTGAAACGACTGCGTTCGAGAGCGAGAAACTGGACGATCGCAGACTGAGTTGCGTGGCCCAACCCATCAATTAGCTGTGTGCATACGTATAATTATTATACTCGTTCGAAATGCGCGGCGCAAGGTATATAGAAGAAGTCACAACGAAGGGTATGTATCGACTCCCGCATGCTATCTACTACTGTAGCTTGCCCGTGCCAGACTTTCCGCGATCTACTAGTGGAGAAACGAATACTGATAGCCCAGCCCATCAAATAGCGGTATAGCGCATGCGCAGTTCGCTGAGGGTTTGCACTTTAGTGCTATTAATTGAATTCTGCAGCTATTTTTGCTGCTTCTGGCACCCCTTTTATACCCTCATGCGTATGAGCTGTTAAGCGAAGTACAGACGTGAAGCGTGTAGCACACATTAAATTCTCGAGTGCCACGTTGTAATATATTGAATGAGTAATACAGGCCGGGAACACTTTGAAGTCAGGTGCTCTCAGACTATACATCACACCTCACATGTTAGCAGTTCCAGCAACCTGAAAAGCGACTAGTCCCAGCAGAATCATAGGACAAAGGCTGAGGAGCGTTCAGACACTAAAATATGTGTTGGGAAATGATGCCAAACACTACCTTGTATACCTCACTGCACATCTATGCACAAGGTACAGAAGCTGTAGTACGTGTTTTTTATGTAAACTTACTCTAATTGTGCCTTATATGGAAGAAAAAGCTCTGTAACTCCCTCCCAACACATAGTTCATAGCGTGCATGTGTAGATGGACGCTCATTCTGGTGTTCGCTCGTCCGGGCCCTCCATGGGGACCCACATCAGCAGCGTGCAGAGCGTGTGGACTGTGCGGCGGCGTTTGCACTGCGTCGCCTCCGCCACCGCGAACCAACGCTCGGACTCTGCGGCAACTGCAGGCTGCGGGCGTGCTCGGCGACTGCCGCGTCGTCACCGGCGAACGTGGCCTCGACTGCGTCATCACCGATGTCGCGGTCGTTGAACAGTGCGACATGACGACGCCGATGTCGCCTGGACTCCTGAGCTCCTAGTCCAAGTGAATATCATAGTCTCTGTGCTACTGAGTAAATGAAAAGAACTAAAGGCACACACCCGCGAACTGGCATCCGCGGACCGCTAATGATGGCTGGGCTGCTATTAGTATGCGTTGTCTCCTGGTCTCGCCCACTAGTATACCTCGGCAGAGAGTCTACCATGGGCAGCTACCGTAGTAGATCGCATGCGAGAGGTCGATACAGAGACAAAACACACGCCCCCGTTGTGATTTCTGTGCCTCAAGATGCACAGAGCACGCGGACCCAGTCAGGTTAAAGCCTGTTGAAAATATAAGCGCATGCACATTTTCTGCAGCGATAAAAATGGCCGACTACGCATTAGCCGTACAATGGTGGAAGCGCTTTAGCTTTGCAACGGAGTACCCACACAATAAGCTAAACTAATCAGGAAGACATCCTGTGTAAGTTAGCTGATGAGCTTGACTTCATAAGCACAGCCAGCGTTACCATGACGCATCAGATATTAATCCCAAAAGCATGACAAAAATTGGGAGAGGATTCTTAAAGACAATAGACGTCATTGCGTGAAAATGACCATAATGAAAAATGTTTCACGTTATTAATTTCGTAAGTACAACCCTTTTTTTACCACTATGCAGAACTTTAGTGGCATGCTCCAAATTAAACAGGCAAAGTGTTTTCATACCGTAGTATGTATGTGAAGCTCAGAACGTGGAAATGGGAATTTATGATAGAGCCAATATTCCATCCATGCCTTCCGTTTATGACATCAAGATTAAGCAGTTGCAATGATCGCAGGGAGGCTAGCGCAGAGCCAGTCTTTTACTGTCTGTTCTCGAGGATTGCAACATTCACACGAAAGGTAAAACACAAGAAGAAGTAGTCTATAAACCGTAGCTGTTTGACCGCACACTGTCACCGAAGAGAGTCCCCACAGTGTCTTTCCACCTGCTCAGCTAGCTAAAACTGTGTAGGAATGTTAAACTTTTTGATAGAAGTACTCCACAAGTACTATTTACTCGGTGACACATGCGACCGACTATAAGGCCAATATAATCCGGTGTTGTGTAGGAGTGTGTTTGTCTTCACTCTTGGAATTTTTCAACCTAGATAGATACAAAACTCTACACATGCCTACCTACATAATCAGCACTTCTGCAGAGCACTAGATGCAAGAAAATCAAGCACGGGGAAGTATGGCCCCCTCTGCACACGTGGAACATAGGAAAGTGATTACCTGAATTCACATTTTCTAGGTCCTCGCACATTCTAAGCAAAATCTTGCAAACTGTATGCGCTAGGCTCTTATAGTGGTATAGCTGACCCAGTGACCTTGTGCTCAAATCGCATAAAAACGCAATTGACACTCCACGGAAATCCAGCACGATCTTTGAGTACATATCTGTCACTTTACAAAGAGACTCTGCAACAGTTCCATGGGTGCTGCACTACTCGAGCCTTGTTGGTGCTGAACACGTGAAGCAGGCAAACATGACTATTGCTATAGGAGGCTACGGCCAACCTTGACCGCCCAAAAAGTCAAGGTTCTTTGCTAACAATAGCGCAGTTACAGAAACTGTTAAATTTTACATGGACAGGTGCTTCAAAATGCAAACAATCGTTGGAAACCATTGGTAAGATTCATCATGTCAAAGTATCGCTAAAGTAATACCCGCTAATGCACAAGAACCAAAATTGCTGAATATTGTAGTCCACGTACGTAACATGTACTAGCTCTCCAGTCCTGCTCACACGACGGATGATTTCTCTGTAGCCTCGCGGAGCCTACACGGCGTCTGAACATGGGAAAAGGTGTGGCTCCACGGTTATGAGGATGTCTCTGCCTTGGATGTTTTTCAACGTATTTCAAAACACGTAAAACATTACGTTATGTGTGGCAACATCATGTGGAACAAAACAGCCATTTGCTCACATTAAGGTAAAACACAGTTACAAGTCCTCTTTCTTTGTTAACCTTCGGTGTGCATGCACAGCTGAGGATTACAGTACTTGGTTTGTGTGTTTGTTGGTCTGTCTGTTTGTCACCGAGCTATTCGCAATACAGGCCAGTGAGGCTGATGAGTGATACACGGCTTCTCTCTCAGTTATGAAGCAAGAATTATGAAAGGCAATTTTCCTTAATAAACAGCTGGCGTTCAAGATATATGCGTATAACAACCAATGTGCATAATCACTGCTTACCTCGCACTGATCCTTTTGCTCTTATGTACAGCACACACAGGCACGACGAGGCCTTTATATCTACATGGTTTACTCAGTAGTTGTATTTCACTGTACGGTCCTGATTATTGTATGCGAAATGTTAATACTTCACCTAGGTCAACAATAAGGATTGTGGAAGGGTCAGGGTGTCAGCAAGCTCAAATCCGTTCATTAACTATGCTTCGTGTATCCCATCCCTATCTTTTCTCCTTTTCCATCCCTCTTTTTTAAAATTCGCAGGATTTTTAATAATTATACTTGTCTCCACTCATTTATATATACTACGTATATCTCTGTGAAAGGGGGCAAGCCCCTTATAAAAATTATTTTAATTAAAAAATGCCTGTTGTTAACAAACATGTGGTTGCCATGGAATCTCCATGCGTGCTACAGTTAGCAAGTTTGAGGAGTGAAGAAGCAGTTTTAAAGAAAAGTGCCTGAGGGTTTTTTCAAACAGTATGCTGTTGTCATGGAAACATGTAGTTGCCATGGAAATTATATAATAGGCATACATGCCAAGTTTCATATCTATGCGTGCCACAATTAGAAAGTTTAGAAGTAATTTAAAGAAAAGTGCCTGTGGTTATTAGTTGTTATTTACAAACATGTATTGTTGGCATTTTGATGTTGGCTATTGAATACATTGTTTCCTTTGGTCAAATAGCTCTTACCAATTGTGAGTTACGCTGACACACGTGATCCATTATAATGTATTGCCTGGGGCTATTTGTTGTCGTTTAAAAAGAATAAGTATGACCAATCTCTTCGGGTGACGGATATCTACATTGTTTCAAAACTTCGTTACTCTTTTGTTATTTCGTTCTTGAGTTACGCGAGTTCAAGGAGAAGAAGATGAACAAAACTCCGTATCATAGCCCCATACATCTATGATGTAGGTTACCATGCCCATCCCTATATTATACTAAGTATTACCGTACTTAGTGACTAGCGCAGCTAACACCAGTGTTCTCCCCAGGATAATTATAAGGCTTATGGGGAGCAAGCAATGTTTGAGTGCTCAGGGCAACAGGAGAGTGATGAAGCGCGCGAAATGCGCCCAAAATATTTACATTTTGGACATTCTGAGTGTTTCTGGTGCAATCTGGCAAATAATACTCTTGCCAGGCCTACATAGTCAAGTACATACAAGCTTGATTGGGTATCTCCAGGTAGCTAAACTTCAAGTGTAAATGTGTCGAGGTGGCACCGCTGGCTATTATCTTTAACACTGTCCCCGCCGCGCCGATCCAACGAGAGACCGTTGCTGCTGCCGCGTGCCACGCGTGCCTCCCCTTCACTATCAACTATGACCATCCAACTAGCCCATCTAGGATCAATGCCTGTTTTTCTATGTTTACTACGCACGGAGCTCTCACACAAGTAGCGCCACCTGCAGGCCGCTTCGCCATACCGCTTCCGCGTCGAGCCAAAACCAACACGTGAAATGGGTGTGGCTAAGGATTTACGCACATGCGCACACGTAAAACCTGCCGCACGAACGCTTAGCAGCCCATATCCCTAACGCATAGCGGAGCGCTAAGCCAAAACGGCCTGGGGAGAACACTGTAACCCGTGTCAGACTCTAAGCGAGAGACCCAGGCACAACCATAGCCCAGCCCATCAATAATTAGCGGTACTGCACATGCGTATAGGTTCGATGTTTCAGTGTGTCGAGGTTTGCACTTTAGTACTTTTCATTAATATAAGTGTAAAAGGCACAGGAGACACACTTACAAAATGTGGGTGTTGCCTTCTTTAAGGAAAATCTTGCATCAGGATGAATCAAGCATCTGAATGTGAAGACAGAGGAAGTGTTCACAACATGGTACAAGGCAGTGACACAGGGAATACATACATGAGTTCTGAAAAAAACAGTGAGTAGGAAGTGAGTGCACAAGTTAATCCTCAAAAATGCCAACAGATACAGTTACAGCATAACCCAGTTGTAAAGGCAGATGTGAGGTAGAGTAGGAGACTTGTGTTGTGCTGGGCACTAATAGGAGAAGAGAGGAACTTCTCAAAGATAGCATGCTTAGGATGAGATATATTATGTATCCAGAATGTTCGACAAACAAAGACGTGAAAAACCCTCAAGTGGAAAGAACGACACCCCGATTTTTATGCGCGCGACTGAGTGGGCGTAATTTGTTGAGTCGCGTGCAACGGTGTACTTTGACCCCTGTGACTTCCGCTCCGTTTTTCGACGACCAGGCTGACTGCATCAGATTCTGACTGTCGGACCGTTTGCTTAAATTTTCCCGCCAGAGCTTACTACACATGCGCAATCTATGCATATTTAGGTAAACAACGTGGTTGTAAACAAAAACATTATCCAACGTAAATTTAATACGGAATACTGCAGCAACTTGTCTATGTTCAGTCAACTTTTCCATCTGTTATTGTTGTCTATGTTCAGTCAACTCTTCCATCTGTTACGACGAATGAATATATACTCCGCGTGTTCCTCCAGCATGGTCAATTTTGCTAACCGTCGTTTCTGGCAGAGTGATAATACTTCAGGATCCACATACCGTCTAATCCATGGAATGTACGGTTCGTTAATGCCAGGTGTAGTGGGTAAACTCGGTCCGACAGTCAGAATCTGATGCAGTCAGCCTGGTCGTCTCCAACAAGGACGCGATTAGGTTGTGGCACATAATTATGGTGGTGGTTTCATTGGGCAGGCTTCAGTTCAAAGAATGAAGGTGCCTGGCAAGGGACGCGTAACACGGCCGTGTTTAGACGGAGGCCGTGCTGGCCGTCAAAATCGTCCAGGTTCGTCGTCTTCCGCGAGACTCGCTCTCGCTGGGGGAAGCTACAAACGTCTTTAGATTCTTTTTGCATCGTAGAGAGCCCTTTCATCGAAGAAGAATCGGATATAGCGAATTTGAAGTCGTCGCGGCAAGCTCTCAGCGACAGAGCGAGTTTATTTGCGCGGAAGCTTGCCACACCCTTAGAATTTAGAATCCACGTTTTACGCAATCTTATTGGTAAATTTATGCTATTTCGTTTTTGAGTTATGCGAGTTCAAGGAGAAGAAGATGAACAAACCTCCCTATCATAGCCCCATACATCTATGATGCTATATAAGTACCATGCCCATCCCTATATACTAAGTACTTAGTAACTAGCGCAGCTAACCCGTGTCAGACTCTAAGCGAGAGACCCAGGCACAAGCGTAGCCCAGCCCATCAATAATTAGCGGTACTGCACATGCGTATAGGTTCAGTGTTACAGTGTGTCGAGGTTTGCACTTTATTAATACAAGTGTAAAAGGCACAGGACACGTATGTACATCTTACTTACAAAATGTGGGTGTTGCTTCCTTTAAGGGAACTCATGCATCAGGATGAGTCAAGCATCTGAATGAACTGAAAGTGGAGACAGAGGAAGTTTTGACAACATGGTACGAAGGCTAGTGACACAGGGAATGTATTAGAGCATCGGTAGACGCTCCATATAGGGATGGCACGGGTGAAATCTCACGTGATCAGCGTACAAAACGATTAAAAACACGGTGAGAATTACTCCCTAGGCCTTCAAAACATACCAACAATAGTCTTATACGGGCCGATATCTAGCTATACATGTTCCCAAAGACCTCATACATACCTTCAGTCGTCTACGCGAAAATTCTCTCATACGCGATTTCACGATTTTCGTGTCATCATCATCATCACAATCTTCTTCTTCTTTAAACCCGCTATCTCCTTACCAGTACCAGTTGAATCACTGATTCACTGAACGCCTCCAAGTCCAGTAGCATATTGGCTTGTTGACTTGGTTTTCACACCATAACTCTCGAACGCAGCACTTTAATGAAAATCGCTATTTTTAAAATGAAGCTAGTGTAGCGCTGAACCTGTTGGTGTCGCTTTTTACCTGTCTGTGCATGTGGTGGCAGAAAATGTAACAGACAGATAGACAGACGGACGGACGGACAGACAGACAGACTAAGTACTGTAACCCTTGCTAAGCATGTGGGGTGAGGGTTGGTGAATAGTGTGTCATTAAAATTGATTCGTTTTTCACACACAATGCATGTGAAGTATACGTAGATATCCTTGTTGCAATGAAGCTGTTGGTTTAATTGACACGCTATAGGGTACTTATATAGAAAAATTGAAGGTTTTGTGATGAGTATGTAGGGGTTAGATTCCGAGGGTATATACTCAAGACTAATTCAAGCTGTCAATCACACACCAAGGCAGAGCTCGTTGGTGTCACTTTTTCCACATCTTGTTGCGCGTGGTGGCAGAAAACGTGGTGAACAACAGACAGACCTAAGGCAGAACCAAACATGAACCAAGTAGTGCAACCCTCTCTGACGCTTTCCCAGCCCCACCCGACTCGGCCGTTGAGCACTCACGAAATCTTATATGATATTATAGGAACAAGATCGGCCCAACACACAGACCCACACCACACAGACTGAACTCCCGACACACGGCAGCCGCTCACTGTCTCAACGAACACCTCGTGACACACACACGACAAAAAAACTGGCACACACACATGCCCTAAGTTACATAACCGAACACAATGGTAATGTGATGTACATATATTGGCGATACACTACAATAAACGGTAATACAGTTACCATACACCAATACAGACCATATCTAGACCATATCTAGAACCTACACTCGTACAGCACAACATGCAGGTGATTTAAATGAACAGTACATACAGATTAATGCACAGTAATGCAGGTACAACAAACCATACAGGTTACACAGAAAACATGTACTAGTTATACCACCCCTACAAGGGGGCTATAGCAAATACCCGAAGGAATGTGTTGATAATCCCGAGGGTGCAGCCCGAGGGATAATCACACATTCCTGAGGGTATTGGCGGAAACACCCGAAGTAGGCCTGGTATAACTAATTTATACCATGGTAACAGATTTCGTCATCATTTTAGGACAATATTTGGGCATGACTGTGGACCCGCCGGCATTTTTAGCTGCCAGGTCGGTCGGACAGAACGCTCGTTCTCTTTGACGATTGCACCACTGCAGATGTCCTTAGTGAAAAGTACGCAGATCATTTGATGGTTATACTGAATAAACTGTGGGCGGCGCCTTTGAAAATTCGCACAACCGTGATATAAACACTTATGTATACCCAAACATACATAGAAAGTACATAGTTTAGCATACATTATAACAGCTCAACTGCCACACACTCGCTCATGGGGGCCTGTCACGTCGTCGATAGTCCCCTACCAAAACCGGTCCCCTCGGAACATCCCTGGTAGCCGTAATTGGTCCCCCCTGCCGCACACAGTCCCCCACCCGAAATATGCACACGTATCAAGCGAACCCGTATCTCTGTTATATCTTAGCATCTTTGAGTGTCACTGAGCCGTGCCACAATGTGTTACCGACGGTAAATGCTACACAGCTACGTCTTCTCCCCGTTTCACTTCGCTGCTGGCGCATTCACGCAGTCGCCCACCCACGTTACTCTACTGATACAGTGCAAAAATATTCAATACCTGTAGTGAATGGTTTCATGATTTGTGTATTACAACAAATAGCCTTGTGTGGAAAAATTTTGAATCCGTATGGTTCTGCAATAAACTAATGTTCAAAAAAAACTTTTCATCTGTCCTAAGCACACGGAGCAGCATTTACGGCACAGAAGTAAGTGGGCAGATGGACGACCATTGCTGGTTGATAGGCAGCTAGCCTTATTTATATACTACTTATTTGTACAAGAACAAACTAAGAAGTATGTACTAGGGGACCGTCGGTGGAAAGGGGTGGAAACAAAACCAAAACACCGTCCACGGCACTAGAAGGGTCGATTTTTTCCGGCTGTGGACGGTCCGGGGGTCCAATTTTTATGCTGCGGAAGTTCTGGGACCGCTTTTGGGGCGGACCAATTTTCGTGTGACAGGCCAAGGGTTAAAAGGCAATCATACGTTAGCTTCGGTTAGCTGTGGATGGGTGGGCAAAAAGGACCTGAACGATCGTACGAGAGGGCAGTTTGGCCTTGACCAGACCGCTCCTTCTTAGATGCGGGCTGACTCTCCGCGAGACCTACGCCTCTAGATCGTTTCTACACCAAAACCCGCTCACCGCCCATTCGTCGTCATAATAACGCACGATAACAAGCTGTTTTTACGAGCTCTCTTGCAGGTAAACAGTACAGGTGCAAGAAAACAATCATTTTACAGGATTCCTGTTTAATGCACTTGTGACCCGTGTCATGGGTAACACGCTCGTGGCAGACATTACATGACCCCTCTGTCCCACTAGTGCCAACTAACCTAGTTTGTCCTCTCTGGAACGTCGCTCACGTCCGTCTATTCAAGCTCCTTTTCTCTTCCCACACCAAGGGCACGTCACAGGAGTGGGGCGAGGTCATCTGCTACATCCTATGCGCATAGCGCGTTTGCGAGCAGGCGTTTGGCATCAACAGATCTCGTTGACTCCTGAAACGGACAACGAAAACCCCACATAAGCACGTTTTTGGTTTTACCGAGATTGGTCCTGATACACCACCAGAGAGAGGGGACCTATCGGTCGCGGTTTAAACGTGTTTTATGTGTGTGTGTGATTCTCTTGTGGATACCACAGTGTTTTTGGGTTAAAGTAATGTTGCACACTGATATGATTCTGCTGCGAATCTAATAGCTTTACTTACCATCATAGCTATATTTTTATCCATGTCAATTTTTGTCATTTACATTTCAGGTCACGTTTGAGCTCCACACTCCACAGCAACATTTTAGCTCTTCGCATATTTCAGGCATGCACAGCACTGTCGTGCTGTTGCGTATTGTCGTGCTGTATCTGCTTAAATTACTAGTATTGTAGGGCATATATATCTTCCCCAGATCTTCTAGGATTTGTTTGTATGCTCGGCGCGCATGCACAGCGACTGTTACAGTACTTGGTCTGTGTGTGTGTCTGTCTGCAGCTATAATATATTTCAGCACTGCGGTGTTCGAGGCGGCCCATGAGCGTTACCAACGTCTTCAGAACTAAAAATTAACATGGCGATTTTCCTGAAAAAACACTGCGTTCGAGAGAAAAACAAGCGAAAAAGCCAATCGCACCATCTTACCTTGACCGATCCGCTTGCTCTTTGTACTTTGCGGAGGCAGCACGAAGGCCCTCCCGCATCGGCATACTATCTTAAAGTGTAAGTAGACCCTCCGCGACTAACTAGCGAGGAGACTACGCACATTCATATAGCCCAGCCCATCAATTAGCCATAGCGCATGCGTATTGCGCCGAGGATTTGCACTTCAGTGCTTTTCATCCTAGCTGTTTCTAAGATGTTAGAAGACGTAATGGTAATAAGTCAACTTTTACTGCAGCTATCATTGTCAAACTATTACAAATTATTAGTGCACAACAATTTCGTATTACAGGTGAAAGCTATAGCATTTTTCTGGCCAAAGCCTAGTCATTTCTATTGGCCAGTAGCTACCTCACATGGGATATTCGTTGTGACTTCCTGACCCCCCAAGGTACACAGAGCGAGCAGATCAAGTCGCGGTAAGCCCGGTGAGATTATGCCATTGGCTTTTTCGCTTGTTTTCACGGCAAACGCAGCGGTTTCAGGAAACTCGCCACAAGATTCTGACCTTCATTGCCGGTTAAGTAGGTAGCTAGTATCGTTTGTGAGACGAAAACACATCCGAGAGGTGAGATGTTGAGTAACAGACAGACAGACAACCCACCAACTGTAACCCTCGCTGCGGCATGCGCGCCGATGGTTAACTACAGTAACCATCCGCTGCGCATGCGCCCCAAGTGTTAACACTTAGCTAGCCAGCCACCGACACAAAATGTGTCCAGAGACTCATTAAGTCCATAAGAATTTATATAAGGGTTATAATACTAGACGCTAATACTTTATACACTCAAAATTAATTAAGCACATCCCCATGGCGTCCAATGGTTAAAAACAGCCTGGTCACACAACAGTTTTTCACACACATCAACTTCTAAGTACGTTTCTTGCTGTACCCCTTGCTTCTTTGGTTGAGAAATTCACTAATTCACAGCTAAGGAAGGGTTTAAGCACAAACTTAGTTTATTGGCCAGCATGCACTAAAAAGCACCTTCACTGCCTACTATTACTTTAGTTACAGCTGATGTTTTACATGAGGTCCGCAACGACATGAAGACTTTACTGTCGGAGTTTAACTATCAGCAGCAAGACTTAGATGTCGTTAAAGATGATGTAGGTCTCCTAAAATTCGGCTTTGCTTTGCTTCAGGATTCAAACCATAAGCTTAGTACTGACTCCATTCGACAACTTTCCAGTTAAAAATATAGCTGAGTCTCAGGAGAAAGCCTTGATACCCTCGTGGACTTTCCTACATTCTATCACATTGGAGACACAGAGTGATGGACTTTGTTACAACGCTAGATATTCAGTTGAAATGTCTGCTGTTCAATGTGTCGAGTCAATTCAAGTAGCACAGCATCCATGTGGTGGGAGTGGTTTGGTGAAGAAGTTGTTGATTTGGATATGGCGAATGCTTCTCACCACCTGCCCGACGGGATGGACTGAGACAGATTACTCAAAACGAACATGTGAAGGACACTGTCTTCCGGGCTCATGTAGTGCTGCAGCGTTCTCGGTGGCAGACATTTCACCAAGCTACAGCAGAGTTTGTGGCCGAATTTTCAGGCCTATGTATTTGGAGGACCAGATGCCTTTGATTGATACAATAGAGACTCTACTACAAACCAGTCACTCAGATTTGCTGATGGTGTTGTTTCATATTACGGATCGTCCCCTGCTGTACATATTTGTCATGTGTAGCTGGTGTCTCGAATCTCCTGATTCTCCACAAGGCAATGAGGCGAAATTTTGCCCTTGCAATCGTAGAAGTGCTAGTCAGTATTCCCACCATTTGTTGGGGTTGACTATTTTTTGTGAGTCTCAGAATGTAATTTTTCCTACTTCTGGAGAGAAGAAGAAAAAGTGAGCGATTAGCGGTTTGTATCCTGAAGACATAATGTGGGACTGAGAAAATTGTCTAGACACAAGTAACTGGTGTGAGTTTAATAATCGACCGCCGTACTTTCTAAGGACTCTCGCTGAATCACACTTCTGCAGATATTCCCGCATCTCTCTGTTTGAGGGATACTGCAGGAGGCAGTAACCTGGCTGGGAGGTCTTTGAACGCTGGACTGTGTCCTGAATACAAACCTTTCTCTGTGTCAGCTTTCAGTCAGGATATCGTATATGTGTGTCTAACTCACGCGATGGTAACCAGTTACCTTAAACTATATATGAATGAAAAGCAC